AGTCACAAATCGACCCCAAGTTTGCTTGATTGGCCTGTGCTCAAAGCACATGAAAAAGATGAAAGCTCACAGGTATGGTTGTTTCCTTGGGCAATGTTTTTTATCCTAATTGCTCACAACCATGCTAAAAGCCAAAGGTATATCAATATAAAATTAACAATAGTATTACATACAGGGCGTCCATTAATGGAAGTTTGGGAGTCATTTACTCCCTGATTTTGGTTTGTGACTTCTTTAAGTTCTACTTTTCCTTCTTTACCTATATAATGTGACTTCCAATATCAGAGATTTTGCAGTGTCTGACTTCCAAATTTTGGAACTTAGTGGAAGCCCTGATTACATACATGAACTATTGTAAAGGCAGAGCACTGCCAATTGGCCACACGGGTAGCACGAAATACCTAAGTATAGCCAATATATACTAAAAATAATGTGTTGTACTAATAAAATTGTGTTTTAATCATGAATACAATATGCAATTTCACTAAGATGTAATCAAACATACCCAAATATACATTTTTGAACACCGCCCCCCTCCCGTAGCACTGACTTAAGCAGAATACAACATTTAAACATGAAAGTTGTGAAATTTTGAATGTCGAATCACCTGCAGGCAGTTTTCATAATTTTACCCTTCAGTGTGACATGCTTTTGCCATTCTTTGAAGCCTTTAAGTGGACTGAGGTCAAATGTGTGGTAACTTATTTAAAAAGTACTATGAATATCTGGTCAAAAAGTGATCCCTTGAAACATTAAAAACAGCAAAATTACATGAAAATGGCACACAACCTGCAAAAACAGTTTCTGTCACAAAGTACATTTCATTATTTATAGACACTGAATGTATTTCTTAGATAGAGTTAGATTTATGTCATGAACTATATGTATTATATTGGTGTTGCTAAACATTACCATGAACATATTCAAAGGACAAAAAAATTCAAATAGCTTGAAATTTTATCTTCTAAAAAGTCCTTAAAAAATCAAAAAAGGTCCTTGATAAGTCCTGGAAAAGTCCTTAAATTTTCAAAATATCTAAGAGTGGGAACCCTGCTAATACAAAAAAAGATATATTTGTTTCTCAGAACTATTGTTTTCTTTCTGTTTAAGAAATCCACGACTGTTCACATTTATGTTCTGTTATAAATGGAATGCAAAATATAAAAAGGTAGTTTTGATGCAAAAAACTTTCACAAAATAATTTCCTGTTTTCTTACATAAAACGTTTAATTTTGCTTCAAAACTATTGTAATTCTTTTTTTCTCTGACCGACTTCATAGTGATGCCCCAAAGGATAACCTTAAAACTTGCTCTAAAATAAAACTGTTTTGTGACCTAGGGTATGTCTATGTGTCAGGAATTCAGTTACCTTCACTAAACTTTGACATGTACCTTTAATTCCTTACAATATTTTTAGTACAAGAAAAATTGGTCGACGAATAAGTAAAGTTTACAGTATGGCTTTATAAAAAAAATACCTAGACAATTTTGAAGAAGCAAAATGTAGTGTATGGCTTTTTTAGAATGACTTTGGGTAGCTTTGACGAAGCAAAATCTAAAGAAGGGTTTAATGAAAGTTACTGTGTAGCTTTGAAGGACCAAACTTAAGAGAAGGCTTGTATAAATGTTTCTTTGGTAGCATTGTAAGAGCCGCCAAATATGTTATTAAATGACTGCATCATTTAAAGAGAAATTCAACATAAGTCTAATTTTCATTAAGTTTACGAAAATGAATGAAAATTATTTGAACAACTCTCGAGTCTGGTTTCCTGGAAAAACTGGTGTCATATGAAGGACCATGGTCATAACACAAGTGGTCCTTGAACTTATCCTGGGTTGAGAGGCAGACATCATGACCACTAGACTACTGCTCTTCCTGGGTTTAAAGGCAAACATCTTGATCACTGAACTACCGCTCTTTCTGGGTTGAAAGGCAGACATTTTGACCACTAGATTACCGCTCTTCCTGGGTATAAAGGCAGACATCTTGACCCCTAGACTACCGCTATTCCTGGATTGAAAGGCAGTTATCTTGACCACTAGACTACCGCTCTTCCTGGGTTGAAAGGCAGTCATCTTGACCACTAGACTACAGCTCTTCCTGGGTTGAAAAGCAGACATCTTGACCACTAGACTACCGCTCTTCCTGGGTTGAAAGGCAGACATCTTGACCACTAGACTACCGCTCTTCCTGGGTTGAAAGGCAGACATCTTGACCACTAGACTACCGCTCTTCCTGGGTTGAAAGGCAGACATCTTGACCACTAGACTACCGCTCTTCCTGGGTTGAGAGGGAGACATCTTGACCACTAGACTACCGCTCTTCCTGGGTTGAGAGGCAGACATCTTTACCACTAGATTACCACTCTTCCTGAGTTGAGAGGGAGACATCTTGACCACTAGATTACCACTAGATTACCGCTCTTCCTTTGTTTAAAGGCATACATCTTTACCACTAGACTACCGCTATTCCTTGGTTGAAAGTCAGTCATCTTGACCACTAGACTACGGCTCTTCCTGGGTTGAAAGGCAGTCATCTTGACCACTAGACTACCGCTCTTCCTGGGTTGAAAGGAAGTCATATTGACCACTAGACTACTGCTCTTCCTAGGTTGAAAGGCAGACATCTTGATCACTAGACTACTACTCTTCCTGGGTTGAAAGGCAGTCATATTGACCACTAGACTACCGCTCTTCCTGGGTTGAAAGGCAGACATCTTGACTACTAGACTAGCGCTCTTCCTAGGTTGAAAGGCAGACATCTTGACCACTAGATTACCGCTCTTCCTAGGCTGAAAGGCAGTCATATTGACCACTAGACTACTGCTCTTCCTGGGCTGAGAGGCGGACATCTTGACCGCTAGACTACCGCTCTTCCTGGGCTGAGAGGCAGACATCTTGACCACTAGACTACTGCTCTTCTTGGGCTGAGAGGCAGACATCTTGACCGCTAGACTACCGCTCTTCTTAGGTTGAAAGGCCGATATCTTGACCACTAGACTAGCGCTCTTCCTGGGTTGAAAGGCAGACATCTTGACCACTAGATTACCGCTCTTCCTGGGTTGAAAGGCAGACATCTTGACCAATAGACTAGCGCTCTTCCTAGGTTGAGAGGCAGACATCTTGACCACTAGACTACTGGTCTGAGAGGCAGACATCTTGACCACTAGACTAACGCTCTTCCTGGGTTGAAAGGCCGATATCTTGACCACTAGACTACCGCTCTTCCTGGGTTGAGAGACAGACATCTTGACCACTAGACTGCCGCTCTTCCTGGGTTGAGAGGCAGACATCTTGACCACTAGACTACTGGTCTGAGAGGCAGACATCTTGACCACTAGACTACCGCTCTTCCTGGGTTGAAAGGCCGATATCTTGACCCACTAGACTACCGCTCTTCCTGGGTTGAGAGGCAGACATCTTGACCACTAGACTACCGCTCTTCCTGGGTTGAGAGGCAGACATATTGACCACTAGACTACTGCTCTTCCTGGGTTGAGAGGCAGACATCTTGACCACTAGACTACCGCTCTTCCTGGGTTGAGAGGCAGACATCTTGACCACTAGACTACCGCTCTTCCTGGGTTGAAAGGCCGATATCTTGACCACTTGACTACTGCTCTTCCTGGGCTGAGAGGCAAACATCTTGACCACTAGACTACTGCTCTTCCTGGGCTGAGAGGCAGACATCTTGACCGCTAGACTACCGCTCTTCCTGGGTTGAAAGGCCGATATCTTGACCACTAGACTACCGCTCTTCCTGGGTTGAAAGGCAGTCATATTGACCACTAGAGAACCGCTCTTCCAGGTTGAGAGGCAGACATCTTGACCACTAAACTACCGCTCTTCCAGGGTTGAAAGGCAGTCATCTTGACCACTAAACTACCGCTCTTCCAGGGTTGAAAGGCAGTCATCTTGACCACTAGATTACCGCTCTTCCTGGGTTGAAAGGCAGACGTCTTGACCACTAGACTACCGCTATTCCTGGGTTGAAATGGAGACATCTTAATCACTAGACCTCCGCTCTTCCTATGTTGACAGGCAGACCATCAGATCATTTACTAGTATTCAAAGGAAAGGATTAGAACAAAAGACACTGTTTGACAAAAATGTCTCCTTAATCAGATGAATAACTGTATTCTTACCTGAAAAATCATACATGTATATGTATGTTCACTGTCACATTTTTAGATCTGCGTTTTTGACAAACTCTATCAAACCGATATTTCAACCATTTCAGTTATGCCGTTTTAACCATTCCTTGCGGATTTGTTTGTTTCTATTTTAGGGACCATTCAATACCTACAGGAGATGCGTATATCTTTTATATATGTTGCATGACCCTTCATCACAAAGTTATTGCACTGACTAGTTTTGAAGTATTATAAGGAGTAGCATTCGTTCCGTAATATTTCACAGCAACTACTGACTTGATTTCTTTTTTGATAGCCTCAAAATTGAATTTGACCTTGAATTTTCTAATAACCTAGACCTATGAGGGCAAGAATTAATTTTGCTTTATTTGATTATAACTTTGTAAATGATTGATTTGATTTATACTCGGAGAGGATAATACTTTTGACAAAAAATGACAAATTGATTTTTTTTAAATGACTAACCGTTTTATTGAATTTTGATTTAATTGCCATTAATTTGTTATTAATAGGCATTTTACTTACAAAATACATTTTTAAGAAAAAAAGTAAGTTGAATTATCTAAGTTACCCCAACAGTTGGAAATATGGGGGGTGTCTATGTCCGTCGATTTCTTCTAACTTGTTTTCGCGCTATTACTCGGCAACTGCTGACTATATGTAATTGAAACTTTGTACAAATACTGAATAATTATAAAAGTAGATATCATTTGCATGTCTATTTCTTACCGTTCGTATCAAAGTTATGAGTCTGAGTTAGTTATATTACCCTTGTAACGATGATATGAAAATTGCAATATAGCCAAACTAACTGATATGGAACTAACAATAACGACAAAAGAACGGAACTACTTTTTTAATTCATAAAAGTGATCAACAGCTACAATTAGTTTATACGAATGATGCTGAAGTAAATTTTAAATGGATATAAGAAATCCGGAAAAGCTTGAGTGTACGTCTGTTTGGTCTATGCCTCCACAGGTAGATAGGTAAACTCTATCTCCAACTTTCAACATGAACACTAATGTTTGGGAACCTGTCAAATAACCATCCGTCTGGTGAACACCACTGCTTACTGCCGTATACTGACGAGTGTTGACATTGAAATAGCAGTAACTTTCACTTTCACCTGCGGTTTAAAACATAGTTGCAGAGAAAGCGTAAAGGCCCGGGGCTCGGCATGTAAAAACTCCAGTGGACTGGTTATAATCCCCTCCTTTGTTGAGATATACGACTTTGTACTTTAGAATAGAAACGGATGATTTATCTGGAGTGCCTACTGTAAATCCAATAGATGTATCAGAAATTATTGAAAGAAATATTTATTGATCGTACGGGCACATTTATCTATATTTGAATAGATAAAATATGTCTTAAATACTAACTGTTCAGTTTAGGATGCATGTTTAGGTATGAATCTATTTAAGTATAAGATATAAGTATAAGATTTACTCTATTTTAAGTTGGTGCTGGGGTATATCTTGGTAGTTGTTTCAAAACGTCCATACATGTTATTTTATCATTTCAACTCTTTCATGCTATTTTAGCTCACCGGAACTTTTGCTCATGAGTAAGATGTATTATTGCCCTAGAAAAGCGTTGATTATATCTAAAAACAAATTGTATCATAGTTTTGGGACTTTTCTGTTGAAAATGCGTCAGAGTTAAATTGTACACATATAAATGCACTGCGCGTTAACTGGACTGCAAGTATTAGTTACCCGCACTCTTGAGCACGCCCATTGGTTGGTTCATATTTGCTGGGGTTTACTTATTGTGACAGCAGGGAAAGGAAACGCGATAGAAATATGATATTCAGATGCTCGTTCATTGGTCACTTTTTTCTGGGGTTTCATATTGTGACAGCAATGAACGTGTTTTTATGTTTGGTTATGATACGAAAGAGAAAGAACACCAAATCACTCGGCGATCTGATTAATACCCGCGTACAAATCAGATAGCCTCGTGTTTTGGTGCTCTTTCTATTACATATTCTTCCACAATAATTCTAAATCATGATAACCACGAACACGTTATAAATGGCTGAAAATCATCATCAGTCAGTCTTCGGATAAGGACCTTGAACACAATAGTGTGAATACGGTATTTCGGTCTTAACAAAACATGTAAAAATAGTACAAATGTACTTTAATGCTGGGAGTTGTCGACAAGTTTATTTCCAATATATCAAGTAAAAGTCCAACTAAAATAAATGAAATGATAGATACAAAAGAAAGCCAAACATTATTTATATATTCATTATTATGGTTGTAAAAACCGAAAATTCAAAATGCCAACCTGTTGACATTGAGTCGGATTTGTTTTGAATTGTACATCAGAGGGCATATTTAAATTACAAATGGTTGTCAGACAGAATTTCAATCATTAATATACCGAAACAGACTTAATTTTTCTTTGGCTGTCAAATACATACATTATCAAAGATGACACTCTCTGTTTCTATTCACATCTGAAACCACGTGAGAAAAGGTATCAGTTTTCTTTCAATGTTTATCGATCTGTCCAAAAGTTAAAATTTTGAGTTGATCCTCAATTAAATTTGTTAGAATATTCATATAAGTCCGAAGATATTTTACCTATGGTAAAAACCTGGCCACAATATCCATGCAAAACAATGCAAATCCTCTACTCATCTTAAGGTCACTGTTGCATGTTGGTTTTATCAACTATTTTTAGAATTAAACATGTTTGAATTACTTGTGCAAATGCTCAGGTGAGCAAATAAGGGCTATAATGACCAAGCTGTTTTGCACGTGGTTTCTTATTTAAAATAATGTAAACATGTTCTGTTTTGCATCTTTTAAATACTGTCAAGTTTTTTAATGCTCGGAACTATTAATATTTTTTGATAATCAACACTTTTTAGTGAGAGTCGTCGCATGAAAAACGACAGATGTGTATAAATTAATGTACGAGTTATTAAAGAAAGGACCTTCATATATCGTCCGAAAATGCATGTTACTATTTTAGTGCATTCTATTTAAGCGATGTTTTCATAAGCATGGCTTTTCACTTATATTCGTATATTTTCATTTTGTAAGCGATTTTGTCTTCAGACATTTATTTTGAAATATGCTCAGTTTTTAGTTTAATCGAAACATAGGTCATCACATTTCTAACAATAGTTTGTTTTGACGTAATGTAGTATTTTATCTAGTAAACTGAACTGAAAGTATCTCATTTTGAGTATTGTTAAATGCCTCGCAGTAAAAATATAAATTATCTTATATATACTTACGATGCTTTTCTGTTCTGTTTGTTTCGAGGTTATCTAGCTTTGTTAGGCCACATGTGTCACAAATCACATTCGTCACAAGTTTTTATGAATTTGTGACGAATGTGATCACATTCGTCACAAATGACTTTTGTGACGAATGTGATTGACCAAAATCGGGTAAAAATGCCAATCACAAACGTCACAAGCAAAATTGAGAATTTTTAAACAGGCGAATCACAAATGTCACAAGTTTATTTTTCAATATGTGATACACGGAATATCATAAGGACAATCGTGGTTATATCAGTGCGATAGTACAAGGGCGACAATGCAATAAATCGATATTGTGATGTCGACATCACGATACCAATATCTTTTCACCACCATTGCATTATCGCCATCGTACTAACTTGTTGCAATATCGTATCGTCGGCATTGTATTGTCTTCATAGAACTGTCGCATTGTCGTAATGGTATTGCTATCAAGTCGTCTTACGTTCTCGAAACCTTCAAAAAATTTTGGTGACAATGCACGGCATAGTATCAGACTTCAACTGGAAGTGATCTTTTACCTCTGTGAACCCTCAAATTTCTTCCCACCATACAGCGACAGTCTAAAGGAATCTCACAGACTTAATCTTAGTTTCAGTACAAATTATGACCATATTTACACCAATGAGACCATATATGATTGTTTGGGAAGTAGCTGAGACCCCCGTTGACTTTCAGGATATCTAATTAGAGATTAGGACCTTTTGACATCAATGAACCTTTTTTGGTCTGACAGACTTTTGACTTCCGCAGACTTTCAGGAATCTTGGTTCAATTAAAGAGTATGACATTTTGACATCTAGGAACCTTCTTTCCTGAGACGATTTTGCAAGTCTGTGCCAATTGCTTGCAGACGCTCTATGGAACTTTCCATATCTATTCCACTAGTAATAATAATATAGTTAATTCGTTTAAACAGATCGTGTCTTTGTGGCGGGGCCGCTTTATCGTTTCGACGCGTCTTAGCTTTTTTCGCCTTTTATGATTAGATAGTTTCAAACGACGGTGTTTAGTGAATTTTATAGAGGATATTTGTTTGTTTTGAGTGAATATGAAATATATTTCACTGAGAAGTGAGAAAAAAATGAAATATGTATCACGAGCGCGTAGCGCGAGTGAAAATATGAACATTTTCTCACTTCGATGTGAGATATAGTTCATATTCACGAAAAGCAAACACATTTTCTTTTTATTTTATGTGCCTTTTGAAAAGTGCTTTTAGACCGTTTACTACTGAAGCGCGGAGACTACGCGCGCGTAAACAATATGACGGCAAACGTTAACGCTGCAAGCAAAATAATCCTTATTTATTTATATTTCTTTTTGCGGTCTCATTGTCAACAATCTTACAAAATTACGGACATTTGAATCGAGAAATATGTCATTTAGAATGAAATTAAACAGTTATTTTTAATGCATGTTTAGGGAATCCAGACTTATAAATACGTACGCAGAGTGGGCGTGGCTTATATCACCCAAATCTATATCACCACACTGTGACTGATATAATATGAATATATTTCATTGATAGAACAGTATTTCATTAGTTAGCATCAAATAAATATAGGATATTACATGAGTGTCTTTTCATATTGAATTTATTAAACGAGTTTGATAAAATAATAAATTGCGAGGCTCTGCCGAGCATTTTATTATTTTTTTCAACGAGTTTAATAAATTCAATGTTAAAAGACACGAATGTAATATTCTTTTTATCACAGGTAAACTTTTGCCGCCGAAAAAGCGAAAACTTGTCGTTATTTTCCCTTATAAGCGCGGTAAAATTAAGCAACGTCCGCTAACGTAGATAGATATTTTATTTCCTTCAGTATACATGAAGAGCACGTCAAAACGATATTACACTAGTGTAATATGGAAAATATGTAATGGCTTTATTCCACTCCCGCGACTTCAAACGTGATAAATAATTATTTTGTAGTTAAATGCTGAAAAGTGTTGTGTAATATAGAATGTTGTTGCGCGACTGTATAGTACAGAACGTTATTAAACATATCAAGTAGGATAGCATGTAAGTTGTAATGTAATGTAATATTATCGTGTAGCAATTCAAAATATTGAAAAGGACGCATAATCAAACATTACGAATTGTGTTATATGTCCACACGGTTTCAATAAAACACTTTGTTGCTGATTTACGCCGTGTCTTTTTTGTTTCGTTTCTTCGCTTTTTAAAATAAATTATACATTGTCGCTGAACAATGTTTTCAAACGATTTTTTTAATTCTATAATGAAAACCAAAACATAAATGAGCACATGCAATAAAAAGGTTATAGAACAGGTCTGGTGTGCCTTAATGCGATATGGGTCTACAAGATCGGTATTAGCCCTCGGGCTCTTTTAGTGGGCCAAAATCGAATAAAGGCACATCAGACCTCTGTAATAACCTATAAATATATCCCGCCTCTAAACCAATGAAAATTCGTGAACTTTATTAGCAGTATTATAATTGCGGCTAGTATTGTGCAATGTGAGTTTGCTTTTAGTCTTCTTGGAATCCATGTTGTTATTCATTACTTTATATTCTAGCATAAAACTGCCGTTATAACCATGATTTCGGGGTGTTTTAACAGGACCAAAAAGGTCTTTTAACAAGGAGATTCTAGCGCTCATGCGCTGTTAAAACACCTTTTTGATATACGTTTTCCGTGGCACAGCGTCAATACATTGTGGCCCGGACGCTGCTTAACTAAAACGGAAATGACGTCACGGTCACATACAACGCTGACGTTCCCGTGCAATCCGAGGAAAATCAGTGATGTTGCTTAATTGTGATGGATTGTGTTAGATTTATGCATGCTTTATGCTAGAATAGCGTTAACGAATGATTGTTCCGTGTCATAACAACTGCTGAAACCCTCGGGATACGTTGGGTCGGGTACCAACTAATCCCTTGGGTTTCTACAGATATTTTAACACGAAAAAAGAAACATGCGTTATTCCTATATTATATCAGAGTTCTTTAGTACTGACGGCTCATCTAGGGTTCAATATGGCGCGGTTCATATAGTTATTTTACCAGTAATATCTATAAAGGAAAGGGTTAAATGAGAATCATGAAGGAAGTTGAATAAATAAACTTAAAGAAAACTTAACATTTCTTGTAGAATATGATTGGTCTTGCGAAGCTATAATTACACGAGGTCATTCAAATATCTTGCAAGCAAATTCGCTGAATTAATGTTTACCGCCGACAGCATCATATACTGATTGAAAATTAAACAATTGCAGGATACATTTCGAATAAAGACTCCGGGGAAATAGTCGGTTAAAGCATAAATTATCAGGGCCCATATCACTCAAGGTCACGGCGATAATGCACATGCCCTTTTTGTATTGAAGGTTCCCACACAATTAAAATTAGATATATTTAACATTTGAAGACATGAAATACTTAAGTTATCTGACTGAATATTAAGCAACCAGGGGTCTTAACTTCGGGTAAGTGCCGTCAATATACACATCTCCCGCTTGGTATTAGATGTACCCACATAGTTTTGTTTAAATTATTCAGCAGATTTGTTGAAGAATAGGGTTGAATTAATGCTTTTCTATGAACAATAAATGATAATAAATTATGGATCATAACTCTGTATTAAACGGCCAAACGGGAAATACTGATGATGATGATGATGATGATGATGATATGCACATCTTGTTTGTTTGTTTATGTGTTTATCTAAAGTCGCCGCCGGAAAGCCCATATAAGCGACCGTACCCTCAAGTCGGACCAAATCCTTTAGTGTCCCGTCGAGATTTTTCGAGATGCGCATCTCCTCTTTATATTAAACTAAATTTCGTTGAAATTCCTAGAGCGCAGAAAAGCAATAGTTCTATATACAGTGTTTTATAAATAACAACAACAACAAGGGGCAATAAGTCTGTTTTTAAAAAGAAATGGAGATATGCTGGTTATATGTGCAACTGGTTTGTGAATGAAGGTTCCTACAAAGTTGCAGCATCGATATCCATCCAGAAGTTGCTGAAAAATAGCGTGGAAACGAAATGATTCCATATACAGTGTATAATAACTAATCAATGGCCGGATAGTGCGGAAACTAAATCTGGACTGACAGGCGGACGAACACGCTAAAACAGTCCCATCACTCCCGATTTCATCAGCGGGGGAGGGGATAAAAATGTCTGTAGTTTTAGTTCCAATAATTGATTTCAGTCCTAAAAATTTGTGACGTTTGTGACTCAGTGAAAAGCATTGAAGAAAACAATATTTATCTCAAATTTGTGACATTTGTGATTTTAAACTCGTGACGAATGTGATTGTCTAAAACATTGGATCACATGCATCACAAAATTTGTGACGAATGTGATCTCATTCTTCACAATTGTGACGAATGTGATTTGTGACACATGTGGCCTTACATAGCTTTAAAGTGAATCCGGTTAGATTGTTAACCATACTTGTGTACATATTTTCCAAGCTGAACAGTTTTGATTCAGCATTGTGTAATTCAGCCTGGATTACGTCGATCCTGTTATCCGTTGTTAAATTGTTAAATTTATCATTCACGTCTGTCAAATTGCTCAGCATGTTCGCTTCTAAACTGATCAACTTTGATTCTAAGCTGTGTAATTCGTACTGTTGTAAGCCTGTATCGTTAGCCATTGGTATATTAAGAACACGTCTCTCCAAAGCAGCATACAGTTGCTCAAGATGTTCTCTGTTGTTTTTCTCTTTTGTCAGTTGCTTAGAAACGTCAGCGTTGGACTGTTCCATCGTTACTAATCGAGCACTTAGTTCGTTTAGTTTTGTTCTCATGTCGTTCTGCAGCTGTAATCTCGAGTTTTGCTCGTTGATGATTAAGTTGAGAAGATTTTGGATAATTTGATCATTTGGTTGAGTGTTTGATGTTGCTGAACCTCCATTTTGAACTAGAAATCCTAACACTTGTCCAAAAAGTAGACACACAAAAAGTAATAAACAATTCATGCAATGTTTTGTTTTTTTCTTTTACGGATCTGCCTTTCAATGGCTTAAAATATCTTAAACTGGCCGAAAGTGTTTTGCGTATCTTTTTATACAGTATCGCATCAGGAGCGTAGCTTAGTATTAATCCATGGTTAGGACTTCTTTCAGGGGGACTTTCAACTTGGTGAAACGTGTTTGCTCTGGATTGTCAGAGTTGATTTCGTATGTTTAGTCGAAAGAATTTTTTCGGAGGATCATAAGAATTTGCAGGTAGATAAATGATTTATTTTCATTGTTTTACATTCAAAAATTGGGCTTCACCGATACGCCACTGCCCACTATCTGTACTAACTTACTTAAAAAGATAAAAATTTTGGAAACCAAAATATTTAGTACAGAAAAACTAATCATTATTTAAACTTCATACATTACGTTGTTTTTTACCGCCAATAAAAATTACTTACTCAGTACAAAAAGGAAGATTTTAAACATAGTCATGTATTAAAAATATATCGATTCTACTCAAAATTCCTATGCAATGGTTAAAATTAAACGTCTCTAACTGAGAATACAAAATTAGGATAAATATGCGAATAGTTTAAGAAATATGAGAATATTAAAATACAATACTGAATTGCAAGTTATGGCTGTCAAAATGAATAATGATTGTCAAGAAAACAGTTATTTTTTTCTTATCAGTTATGGCTGTTAAAATCGGTTATTGTTGAAAAATTAATCAACGACATTTGTAAATGTCTTTCCTGTTTGACAGTCAACATCATTCCCTTATCAACTCATTTTGATGAAACTATACAGGAATATTTTATTTGCTTAGAGTTGTCACCAGTTTTTGTCAGCTGAAGCCTTGATCTTTGCTCGTTTACAATCAAGTTTAACATATTTTGAATGACTTGATCAGTTGATTGAGGATTTGATGAAGTTGCGTTCCCATTTTCAACTAGAAACCCTGACACAACTCCAAGAAATAGAAACACAAAAGTACCACAAATTTCATTGTTAAGAAAACAGTTGTATGTCAGTCAGCTTTAATACGTTTATAATAGTAAACATATTAAACTATATCAAACCATCATGTGTGTTTTAAAATGGGTAAGATTTATAAATAATTGGAAACCAAATTATTTATACCACATAAATAAGTCATCTTTTTTAAACTTTATAAATTTCGGCGTTGTTTCCGCTGATAAAGAAAAAACGTTTTACAAAAGTAATAACAAAATCAAAGTAGTCAATTTGCCCTGGTTCCAAAAGTATTTAATCTAAGCGTTTTATCACAAATTGTATATTAGTGATTAATCTCTAGGTGAGTTAAGAGAAATACCTTAGAAAGCTAGTTGAGAATATTACAAAATAATGTATCAATGTTTGTATGTATAAAAGTTATGGTTGTCAAACATATTTTCTAAACGTTTTTTTACATCATAATATAATTATAACAACCGGAGTAATAGGCTAGGCGCCATAGCCCAGATTTTGTAATTCATTTGTACATCTGATATTTTTATTACTATTTAGAACACTTTTGTAAATTGCTAACTTGAATCGTGCCAGAAATAAAAGATGACATATTGAACAAAAACTTATTTTGTTTCTGTTTGATGAACATATATATCCGATATTAGATATTAAATACCATGTTAATTGATTAAACAATAATTAATAAGAATGAATAAATTAACGAATAAATGTCAACCTTATTAATGTCAACGTTTGAAACATTCTAATACTAGTAACATTTTAGGGACAAAGTGGTTAGTGTAGCAAATATTGAAATCGCCCGTTTCTGACCCCTTAGAAATTTTGTATAATTCTTTCATGCCAAGTGATTCAGCTAGCTTACAGAAAGTCAGTGGTTCTAGTCAAATTCCATCAACGAATATTATAATACATAGAGGGAAACTTCCTTCTCCTTCAAATCGGAGAAGTCTACATACATGTATATTATTTCCAATATCAATATAAAGTAAAAATGAGTACATAAACATAATACTCGAAAGATTAAATATTTTCATTTCAATTGTGTGACAATTTTACATTTTTTGTAAAAAGGTGGCAGGGTTTAAAGAATAAATTTATAGGCTTGAAAGGGCGCAAACAGCCTCTTTTAACGTATCCCGTCATTTCTGTTTAATATTTGAATTTAAATTTGACTATTCAAACGTTTAATGTAATTCAGTTAAAGGATGGGATAGATGGCGATTAATCTAATATTGTTACAAAAAAAAAAGGTTTTGAATGAACATTTTATCAATATTTACTTCTAATTTAATTTATTAAAATACCTTTTGACTATTTTACTCCCAATCATATAATTTATGTTTAAATATTTTATCTACCTTAATATATACATCATTATTATCAATGTTCCTAAAACTTGGATCTACTTTAGAAAAATATTTTTTGAATGTGATTGATTGCTAAAACGTGGCAATAGGATATAAAATATATAAACATCTAGACAACAACAGAATGTTATAGAGAACAGTGTCTCATCTTTATTTCGTGCTTAAATATACTTGAAATTGTTGCACCACCTGAAGTAGTTATCTCGGGCATTATAATATACAAACAACTAAACTCTAGGAGGATTTACATATTCAGCTGTAGTAACTAGAAGGGGAAATAATTGTTATTGTTTTACTATATGAAATGTGAACATATTTACCTTTCCATGTTCAAAAAAATAAATAAACTAACTTCAAACTTCAAACTTCTTAAAGACAGTTTTAATCATAAAGATTTGTTAATTACTATGTTTGTTGTGCAAAACTGATATATCTTTTTGGTAGTATAATTTGTTGCACAAAGTATGCTAATTTCCATATAAAAGTGTTTAAATATATTAGAAAAAATCAAATTATAGGTTAACCACATTGTTAGTCAAGTGTTTCGATACAAAATAGAAATCTTTAAAAAAATATAATTTTTTTTATTATTTTTTTGTATTTTTCTCTAACAAGGTTTTCTAGACCTGTCTATGCACAGAATTCAAAAGGTTACTTAATTTCTTATAGTGTATTTACTTTTCAATTAACACTATGTTTGTATTGTATAAATGTTACAAAAACGTAAAATCTGAAGGTTTTTTTACTTACTCAAAGTGGGCGCGATAAATTTATCCGAGAGTTATTATACAAAATTACGAACTTTGCAAAGGTAAATAATATTGTTTTGCTTTTTGTTAATTTTTATATGAATTCTTATGCAAATATTCACTGTTTAAAAGTATGTTATTGTATTAAGGTATTTTTGTTTTCCTTCATGTCTAGAGGGTGCGCTAAAATATCAATAAATGCAGATACAATCATTTGTGTACATTCAGTAATTAAATTTGTTTGCATGATATAAATTGTTTTAATACTCTTAATATAAATTGTTAATTACACAGAAAGAAGACTTTATATACGTCAACGAAATATACATTAGATAAGATCATGCATGTATATGAGTGAAATGTTGTCTATTTATGAATACAAATAATTCCTGCACAATCAAGTCTTGCTTAAGGCTTGTAACAGTACGATTCAAAATTATATTTACTTTCATATCATTGTAATCAATTATAATTGAATAAGCACTGTCCATTTCTAATAACTTATGTAGACATGATATTTTCAAAAGATACAAAAATTAAGGCGACTGATACATCATATAATCTATGTGTGGAGAAATAGCTATCTATGATATCGATATCGCTTGACCCACATAACGTTGCTTATGAATTGAAATATAAACTAAATGTATTCATGCTTTATTTTCCCCATTAAACAAAAAAGAATTGATAACCATAGTTCACTCGCCTGAAGTCTATTGATGGAAAAGGGCTATAATTCTTCAATACTAAAGTACATTTACATCATATACTGAGTATCTTTTTTTCTCACCAAACACAGTCATGATTTATGAACTATCTGAAAAGAAACATGCCCAATAACTAGGCTCTCAGAACTTTTTCACACAACAAGACTCATATTTTACTACTATTTTCCAATAAGAATCAATGTAAACTAAGTGATTTTGGCCCTATGCCAATAGTTCATAATTTTTACATACATGTAGCATCACAAAGGGATGATTACAGTATTTCTTCTGCTCTGTGTACTGTAGTTTTGGAGAAGAATTTTAATACATAAGTCAATGTTAACTCTGGAATATCCTAGGTTAAGCCATTTTGTACTGCATTAGCATGATTTTAAGGCCCGTCACAAGGGGCACAGTTTTTAAAGACTTGTGTATGGAATCACATTGAAGTCCTTCTTTTGAAAACTACAATGCCTAGAGCTTAGTTAATCAACATATAACCTTGCCAAGTAGAGTAGACCTCTTTTATAAGTTACATAAAACGCTTTTAGGTCATTTAGTCTATAAGCAAAATATTTAGTAAAATCTTCTCGAAAAGCAAAATGCACTGAGCTCAGGTAATAAGCATGTGGCATCACTTTGTGTCTTTATTTGCATATTTGAAGTATGCTTATAGAGCCACCTGGATTTATAGACTTATATAGGAAAACACATTAAAATTTCTAATGTTAAAGTATAATGACTAGAACTTAGATATTTGAGATGTAGCATGATATAACATGCATAAATTTGTATATTTCTTCTGCAGTCTAAAATGTTTTTGCAATGAGTATCACTTAAGTTACACAAACTACGGTTACCGTAATAAATCTGTTTTCTCTAAACCTACAGTACCTGAAGCATAGACATTAATATTGTATCATCATACTTTTGTGATAGGCTACAAATATTTGATAAAACATAGACACGATGATCAAAATTTACCAAGCACAAGGGATCACTAAGTTTATATGGACTCATATATGAATATGGTTATTTAAGTCCTCCCGTGTGAAACAATTTTTAGAAACAAGATATTGGACATCTTTCTTTTAAAGTAAACCGTATTCAAATATTTCACAAATCATGTGTGTTATGACATAATTGACACGCCCAATATGATCTTATTACCTACACCTTTATTACGGTATTGTGACTTTTTCCAACAAAGATCTAAGGTGAGTGATCCAAGGTCATCATTATTGAAAGAAAAAAATG